CTTTCCCTTTAATTCTATTCGTATGTCAAGTAGGGTCATAGGGACTGCACAGTCTACCCATGGCATGCATAAAATACTATATCTATACTTGAGATTTTATCCTTCTGTTGCTTGATACAGTTAGAATTTGAGGCCAACTGGAAGACATCCATTGTAACTGAGTCTTATGAAACGTGCTGGTTACTATCTCCATTTGGCTAGCCAATGATTTTTGACAATACACCTGACAAGCTGGCTTTCCAATTCATTGTCTTCTATGAGACTTCTGTGTTGAAAATTGCCTACTGATGTGATTATGACTTAGGTCTCCTTCAAAGTGACTGCTCTAGTTGCTAACTTACAAACCAGCCCTCTCTGGTATGTTTGCTTTTTTTGAGAATCATAATCCGCAGAAACAGTCCCTGAATAACTACCTCAATAATTTTTAAATATGCTTGTAACTTGTTGACTTGGGGACTTTCAAGAGGACAAAAAGCACATGTTAATGCATTCCACTAGGTCATAAATCTGAAAACGTGGGCTCTCAAACTATAATGAATTCAAATAACCTTGATATAAAACATTGACTTCTCACTTTGGAGAGGATAAAGTGATCCTTGTTTTGAATTTTGTCTTGCTTTGTTTTATATTATGGACGAGTACACATAGGCAACTCTCCTGGAGAACTTTTGTGTTCTTCCTAGTTTTGTCCAAGTCTAGAATATTTGCCGTCTGTTTTGTGCCTTTGTCTTAAGCTTGGCCCTTTGGCTTAGCTTCCTTTTCTAAGCCTTGTGTTCTACCATCAAATTCACAGGCAGATTCACTACTTAGTATACAGTCCTACAGTATAGAAAGATGACAGTAGGCATTTATTGGGCTCTTGTTGTGAGTTGGGTACCATTGTAATTGTATTAACTCACTTAATCTTCACAACAACGCTATGATTTAGGTATTAGTGTTATTTTCATTTTACACAAAGGAAATTGAGCCTCCAGAAGATTAAGTAACTTTCACAGCTACTAAAAGAGGAAGCTAGGATTCAAATTAAGACCCGTTTGATTCCAAAGCCATAAGGATATTCTGCTAGCCTACATAATTCCAAGCACACACACTTTCCGGTTAGAAATGTGAAATTCTTCAGTCAAAGGAGTGCACGTTCTGAAATATAATTTGGAGATGCAAAAATGAAAGATAAACAGCTGATCTGGTCCCAATTTTTAATTTTTTTTTAATGTCTGCTTTGCTAGATAGCCCTTGAGTTTGTCAATTCATTTTTTTTTTCTGTTATAAGAAATGCTATTTCTGTTTAAGTGCTGCTGGATTTGGAAATCATTTTCCTGACTAAATATCTGTTTGCACCGTAAAAGTCCCATGTAGGGTTATGCTGCCTGTAAGTACTCAATAAAGATTAATGGATGGCCATGCACATCCGTGTGGGAGTCATGTGCTTAAGATCTGCTCAGTTCTCTGAAAGCAACAGAGATGATGTGGTGAAAATGCAAATCACAGGACTGTCACCCCACCCCTGTCACAGTTTTCTGGGTTGGACTTTGTCATCGGAAAGGCCTCCAAGGCCCAGGTACAGGAGGAATGGGAGTGTGACACCGGGTGTTTTCTTGAGAAATGATTGGGAGCTGCTGTGGGAATGAGATTCCTGGGCCCACTTCCAAGATTCATAACAAATTGGAGAGAAAACTTGATTCTCTGATAGGGATTGGAGAAAATCAGATATTTTTTTAATTGACACATTTTCTATTATTATATACATATAAGAATGATGAGTAATATGCCATATCAGATGGTTTATTCAAACTGTCAGAACAAGAGCTGAAGCGTGAGTAACTTTCCAGAGAACCTTCTGGGAAATTCGAGCAGCAGAAAGTGGCAGTAGCCAGCCATAAGCTCACCTACTACCAAGCCATCCCTGAAAATCTTGGGGGCGGGGGGTTGGGGGAGGGACAAAAACTTTCTCCCAAAGTGCATGGCAGGAATTTTTAGAGGAGAGGATGGTGACAACCAATAATTTAAACTGTCTTTGCTAAAAAGCCAAGTGTTCGCATGTGGCCTAGGCTTGTGTTCTTGATAGGAAAGACTGGGACCAGCCACGTGGCCTGGGAGAGAATGCCCTCACGATGAAATGATGACTGCTGAGCACCTTAGAAAGTCTCAGCAGAGCTTTAAAACGTGTGGGCACTCACTTGCAAAATCAAATTTACTTTGGCATCAAAGAAAGTGTAAGGAGGAAAACCTCAATTACTAGGACTAGTATGGCCAGCCACGGGCTGGGACGGGATGTATTCATACTGTGTAAAAAAGGGTATAGCAGAGAGCCCATTGGATGGTGCTGATTCAAAGCTCTCTGTCTTCAGAGCTCATCTGCATGAGTGGAAACAGAACAGAAATAAGCTTCCTAGGGTCCACTTCAACTCTCTTACTTCATGCTATCCTTAATAGGTTCCTCTCTGAGACAAACATTCTTCAGTGGGAAAACTCCATGGATCTCGAGGTCTTGAAGAGCATTTATTTATACATCTCTTCCTTGTAAAAACTCCCTTTGTATTTGCAACCAAGCTCTCTTTAGCAAAAAGGCAGCCTTATGAATTTGGGTAATTTGGTACATAGGAGGAGACTTTTATTATTAAACTCTGAAGATTTTGTATTGCTGGCACCAAATCTCACCATTCTGTTCTCCAAAAGGAAAATGACTTTTGAGAAGTAACCCAGAAGGTGCCCTGGGAAAGTAAGTATTATGGCCAGGAGAGAAATGCCTATGTGTTTGCTGTTTAAAAATAAGGTAACGCATGCAAACAAAGATACTATGAAAAAATATATAACTATGCCCAATCAATAGAGGCACATTTATAAAACCACCGCCCTGAAATCAAAGTTAAAGTTTTGATAAGGGGGAGGACTATTTTCCAGTACCAAGAACAGTGGCTTTATCAGTGGCCAGGTGAATGGAGAGACACCGTGAGACCTAGCCACGTGAGCCGCTCAGCCCAAATCTTAGCGTTGATTCTCCCAGTGAAGGCTTGAAGGAACTAAGGACGTTTCTCTTAAAAGAATCAATGAATCTTTGTTTTTTTTCTGTCTGCTCATTTGACCTTATTTTGTTTTGAAACAGAGAGAAAGAAAAGAAAGCATTCAACTGGTAGGGTGAAATGGAGCAGGTGGGGGTGGGGTGGGGAGGTTGAGGAATCTGGAGGGAAAGAGATGTCCCTGCCATGCCATAGAGCCGGTGGACAAGATCACAGGCTGCTGACCGCCACCCGGGATGTTATCGTTTGCTTGCTGTCATCTTATTTGTACTTCTCATTTCAGATTCTCGCCCTGATGTAATAAGTCACCGTCTTCCCAGCCATCATCCTCGTATTGACAAGCAAATGTCACCCACGTTTGATTGACATCCATTGCTCCCGAATGCAAAAGTATGATTTGGGAATCAATTCTATTTATTTATTTAAAGCCTTTCTTGTGTGTCTTATGTATTGGTTGGTGGGATAACTTGCCTAATATCTACCCTGGGGGCTTTCCAGTGGCATTATGAATCCAGGCTGTTCCTTCTCCCCCTCGCCCACTGAGAATGGGGGGTGGCATGGCGGGGGTTCTTCTTTCCCCCTTTTTTTTCAACTACCCCCTCCCTCAGTGAACATCTGGGAAATCTGCTATGGAGCTTATAGAACTCTTTCCATGTCTTACAAGAAAAGAAACAAAAACAAAAACAAAACCCTTTGCTCAGCACTTGTGTAAACGCTGCTTGCTTGATCTTAAGACTTTTGAAGGCATTTTGACAAGTGATTATTTCTTATGCATTTAGCACCTTTAAGTAAATGCAACTTCGGGTCTCATGGCAGTATCTCCTGAAAGGTTACTAGAATGGCACGCCTAGAAGTAGAGTACATATGTATGCAATCGTCATGGTGCAGCATCTGTAAAAAGAGGCAACCTCCCCCACTTCCTACGGTGGACATGTCCATTTAAAATCTTTGAGAGATGTCCTCTGGCCTTTCAACACACCTTACTGTTCTCAGGGTAACATCTTATTTCATTTAGAAGGCTGGGGAAGAAAACCATAAGGTTAAAAAAAAATCACATCTACCATCTGGAAAATTCTAAAGGGCTCTCCTTCTGTTAAAATGGCATTTTGAAAAACACCTGAAGCACGCTGATTGTGGGTGAGCAATATTGTCAACCAAGCCACTCTGCTCTCAACCTTCCCCTCCACCCTCCAGCTGGGACTGCTGCTGGCGGTGGGGAAATGTGGGACTTACGTGTGACCCTTGAGCCCTGAAAGCTGTGGCACAGCTGTCTCCCTCCCCACCCCCAGGTAGGTCCAGCAAGACGCTGCCACAGTCTGGTTCAGCAAGGGAGTAGTCAGAATCTCACTGTTCCTCCATGTGCAGAAAGGGAAAAAAAGAGAGGCCGAAAAAAAAAAAAAAATCCCACATTGTCAGAGTAATGCCAAACTCTCTCTGAGTGGGATGAGCAGAGCAGATGCTGCAATGAGATGCCAAAGCCGCTCCCCTTCCTCTGTGCCTTGGGTGCCTATAAATTGCTCCGGCGCGCGTTTGTCAGCCTCCTCTTCTCCTGGCAGGTGGTACCCGGGCAGAATTCTGCGTTCAGTCTCTCTCGCGCTGCGCTCTCGGCCGTGAGCGCCCGCGCCGCCGCTCGCTCGCTGGCTCCTGCGCTGCAGCCCCG